CCCCAAAACCCCAAAACCCCTTATAAGATAACAAATGTAAAATATCAATTAGTTAAATTAAATAAGAAAACTTATATAAATTTTTATAATTTGTATTTAAAATTTATATACTATTTGAAAAATAAGAAATGAGTGGTATAGTTGCTGCACCTTCAGCTTTATGCATGTCTGTTCTACTTCCAACTGCCTCTAGTTCTAAACTAGCAAATAAGGGAGCGACTCTTAAAAATATAGTAACTTTAAAGCTATAATGATTGATATTATCAGTAAAAAGCAACTGAATAAGTGCTTGGAATTCAAAGAAAAGATTATCAATTATTTGCTCTAGTTCCATTAAATGATGAAGTACTAAGGCAAGATGTCATCGGAAACAATCCAGAAATTGCTATTAGGCTAGTGGATTCTGGTAAATCATTATTTCCCCTTACCAACTATAGAACTTACGATGAGTAGCGTTGAGGAGGTTATGAGATCTAGAGATAAATACAAGTCGATGGTAAAAAATTAGACCTAAATAATTTCAATAAATTGTAACGATACTTTTAAATAGATGCAAAAGACTAATGAGGCATTGCAGGCATATGTTGAAGAGATTAAAAGGATGAGGAAATTCTTACTTGAAACTGGAGGAGCTGCTGATATCGATGATGAGTATATCTTATATTGGTAATTTATGCTTTAGAGCTAAAGAAAGTATATTAAAGAAGGCTATGTAGAGTAAGTAACTTCAAGAAGAGAACAAAAAACTTAGAAAACTCATTAAGTAAGAATAGATCATATTATAAATAATTGACTTTTATTATAGAACTTAACTTGAAAACTCAGAGAACTTGAGACTTGAAACCCAGACTACTATTGAAACTTTGAGAGAAGAATTTGATCTTCTAGTTAAGGAATTAGCCAAATACAAAAAGAAGGATAGTGCTGGTCCATCTAATGCAGATTAAAAAGGATCTCCATCTTAACAGTAAAATCCTAGCAACAATTTGAATAACTAAAATTTTGGGATGAATGAGAACTATGCTCCATCTAATAACATCAGAAGTGACCAGAAAAACAAAAAAGATTCTTAATCCTCTATTATTGGTACTTCTAATGCTCAATAAAGTAAAAAGGACTAAGAAGGAAGTAATTAGAATTCAAAAGGTGCTCCAATAGGTGTACCAAAACTGAAACTTGGAAAGTGATTGAATATTTATCTATAATTGAATACAATCTTGACTTAACACTTTATTTATAGAAAAGGGGTTTTGGGGTTTTGGGGTTTTGGGG